AGTAGTAGTAGTAGTAGTAGTAGTAGTAGTAGTAGTAGTAGTAGTAGGGAGGAGTAGTAGTAGTAGTAGTAGTAGTAGGAGTAGGAGTAGCAGTAGCAGTAGTAGTAGCCGCCTAAATGAGTAGGGTGTCACATGATTCTCGCCCGTACCTATTATTTATGACAGCAGCAACCGTTCTCTTGCGGCCACTCGCCATGTGCGGAGGAGCTAGATGCTGCGAAGGTGAAGCTATCGACGGAGCTGGAGGAATTGAAGACGACGTTGGCACAGAATCTGATGGATCTTCAACGCAGCAAGGAAGTGGAGTGTCAGAGGTCCCGAGAGCTTCTGAAAGTACAAGAGCAGATGGAGACTGACAGCACCTCGGATGCCTTTGAGCGACACTCTTCACATGCCTGTCCTGGATGTTGTATGTTTGTTCTACTTGTCGATTGTGGCAATCTTGGCGGTTAATTCTCCCTCGCAACAGCAACAGTATTGGAGTATTGGATGCGAAGATGCTAGGCAATGAGGCCATCGCTTGACGGGCAAAAAACATCAACCTGTTTCAACTGATGTGGCTGGCAGCGAGAAGGTAATGAAGAGTGCAGGAGCCTTCCCCCAATCATTTACTGTAATCAAAGAGTTAGTTGAGCTTTAGCACACAATATAAGTACCACGAACCTCCACTGCCTGCTGCCACAGCCTCCAGTGCTATGGCCTCCACTGCCACCAAGTTCCTGGTTTTGTTGCTCTTTTGTTGGAGGGAGTAGCGATGGCCTCCAACCTACTAGCTTCTTGTTACAGTAATGGCCTCCAACCTAATAGCGATGGCCTCCAATAGTCGTGTCTTTGCCTTCAGGAGAAGAAGTCAAGTCGCTTCGGAGCACACTGGACCGTGCACACGACGAGCTTGAGCGGAGCAAGGCAAAGGAATCCAAACATCAGCGAGAAGTGCTCAATTTGCAGCCACTTTGAGCAATGTGATGCATTTTTGTTTTGCCAGACAATTTGACAATTCATGTTTGCACCGGCTTTCGGTGATCTTTCCTTCCTTTCTAGTGGACCTGATCTTGAAAAGAAAGTACACCCCCAGAGGAATGGGCCTTTGTTTGATAAGGCGATTATCGCAATGTGCATTGTATCCTGTATATCATGCATTTGACTCTTTCAGGGTTGCTTCCTGTGGTGCCTGTTCTAAAATTACTGGACATAATGGCACTTGTACACATACGTACACACACCCGCACACCCACACATTCTTTCATTTTTCCATCACAATCGATCCGCATTTTTGATGTGCACATGTAGTGAAGTGTGACTTTGCGCAGTCCCTTTGCTACTATCATTGAGTCCACTTGACATCACATTGGTTTGTCATTTCAGACTTTCACGCTGAGTATCCATTGGTTCCCGAACTGCGCATTGGTTTGCAACGTCTTTGAAAAGGACAACAGAAGCTGCTTCTGAGGAAAAGCATGGAGGAGCAAAAGAATGAGTTGCAGAAGCTCAAAGAAAGCGATGCAGACAAAGCAAAAGCACTTGACAAGATGCAGCAGGAGGAGAATCTCAGCTGATTGACCAACCCTCCAGGCCTTTTTCCTCCAGGCCTCAAGGCCCAGCCCTACCGTGGGAGGGGATCTGAGGGGATGTTGTGTCAGCACCTGAGCCACAGTGACCCCATTTTAAGTTCACCCCTTACTGGGCGCCACAATTCCGAGCACGCATCTCTCGGCTTCATTAAGGACGGCTAAGCTGAAGGAGATTGAGGCACTCCAGTACCTTGGCCCCTTTGCAAGGCCCAGTCTATATCAACGATACATAAAATATTATTGAAGAGGAAGAATGCCAGCGAGGGGGGTGAACGGTCAAAGGTCTAAAGGAGAAAACCAAAGAAGAATGATATAATTTCAATGTTTGTCTTTTGGACATGTTTTTAAGGCACCAACTGCGGGAGAAGGCCAAGGTGACTTCTGACTTGACGACGAAGTTAGCGCAGCAGACGCAGGAGCTATATATATAATATATATATATATAGATAATATGCATAATTGGTTGAGCAACTGTGTTGGTTGAGGGGCTGCAGATGGCTGCAGTGGGTCAGTGACACAGTTGGGTGGGTGCCACAGTGCCTGATGGGCCTCCCGAGGCTTTGAGACACCAGCGATGGCCTCCAACCTAATAGCGATGGCCTGATAGCCTCCAAGATGTAAGTTGTATTGTATACATTACATGAGTCACTTAGGGGGTCAATTGTCATCCATGTCCTTGCGACTTTCAGCCCTGATATTCCTCCAGGAGTTGTCAGAAGTGAAAAAGTCATCTGCGGAGCAGCTGCGCCTCGAAGCAGTTTTGGAGGGTTCTTTGGGTTTCGACACAGTTAATTGGATGCGGATCCATCAACAAAGTCAACAAGTCCACGCAGCCTGAAGCCACAGCGATCTTTGGGCAGGACTTGCCTTCTTATGTGGGATGCTTTAGTCGCTAATCATAGCAGGCAATGTTATTGCCGATGTGTTTCTTCTGGCCCATTTTGCACGGAATCTACCACAGCTACAGACATTTTTAATGGTCCAACTCCAACAGCACGAGCCAGGCTAACTGAACTAACAGAGTGCCCCACCTCTTCTTGTTCTTGTTCGAGTTGTAGGAGGCAAGTAAAACGCCCGTCGATAGATGAGGCAGCAAGTGGAATCCACTCAGCAGCGCCTTGCAGAGATGGAAGCTTCTTTAGTGCAGACGCAGGCGGAGGCACAGCAAGGCGCCCAAGAGCTTGCAGACACGAGGCATCTGGGCGTGCCGGGCATTGAAGTGACGGACAAACGCAGCGCAATGTCACCCGTTCAATGTATATATATATATATGTTTTGCTCAAAGTAAGTGGGATGAACTTTGTTGATTTGATCAGCCAGTCTTGTGCATTGTTATGTTCATTTGTTGGACAAAGGAAGATGCTTGAAGACAAGGAAGCTGAAGTGAGCACTCTAGGACAGATGTGAGAATGACGCTGAAATCCATGGCTCCTGTATGTGTCTATTTCTTCTTTGAAGTGTGCAACCTATGAACTTTTCGGAAGATGTAATTTTTGAGCAGCTCTCATCAAGGTCATGTGCATGGCCAATTCATGATGCATGTTTCTAAGGGAAAGATGTCAGTTGCCTGTGGCCAAGCCTGGGTTGAGCTTGAAATGTCTTTTTGTACCTCGTTTGTTTGGATTGTTTGCGTTGTACGAAATACAAGTCAAAGCGGTCATATCAAGATACCATCCATCCGCATCCACCACGTTCGTGAGGAGCTCAGCGTGCGACGTGGGAGGCCGCCGAGGCCCGACTGGTCGACGAGCTCCAAACGCTTCGGCAGAACTTCGCAGCAGACATGAACGAGCGGGAAAAGCTCCAAGGACGCTGTCAGTAGCAAAGCCATACGAGGTCAGGTGTCTCCGATGAGTGGATCCTCTAGAGAGGATAAATTGAAAAGTCAAAATAGGATTGGTGGATCATCGGCTCAATACCTGATTGATTTACCTAGACATTTGGACTGATGTGGATGTGTAGCGGGAAGGTGAGCAGCTGCAGACGTCTTAAAAACGGGGGTCTGGAATCCTGGAATGTTCCGGATGGATTTTGTTTGATTATACTCTACACGTCGTTAGGGGAATCAAGGGGGTTGTACTTTCAAGGACGTGAGAGCAGCGAATGTGTGTTGTTATTTCCTCTCAATGAAGAGAAGGGTTTGAGTTTCAGGACAGCTGGAATTCCTTGAAGCTGAAGATGCCTTGAAGTCTCAACGAATTTCTGAAATGCAGCACTTTTTGCAAGAACAGATGCAGGACTCTGAGATGTGTGAATAATTTGTAGTGGATGAATCGGGTGTGGAGACCAGGGAGCAATCAAGATGAATCAACAAGTCACAATTAAAACGGTGAACTCACCAGCAGCAAGCTACAAATTTATGGGTGTTACAGATAAAGCTTGATGAAGCAGAAAAGAACACGGCATTACCTTGCTGGAAGGCCGAAATGCCACCCTTGTCAACTCACAAAGAGAATGGATGAGCCGCTTTTGATTCATGTGTTACCTTCGCTCTTGGCAGTCAACAGATCCAACATGGAGTGGCTAATTCAGCCTCAGCCTTGAGGACATGGACACTCTCAATTATGAGCTGAAGCAACGAGAGGCTGCCAGTGCCAACACTTGAATGTAAGGATTCTGCAGAAAGCGGGCTGAAGTATTCTTTGTATAGTTGTTTAGCAGCTAGAATGTTTAAGGTTGGAAGTGCCCGCGGTTGCTTGTTTGCCTGGCATTTGCCATTTCAAAAGGCGCAGTTGGAGGAGCTGCAGCAACAGATGAGCCACTTGGCGGATCGATGTTTGGAATCAAACACATGCACTGACTCCAACCTAATAGTGATGGTCTCCAACCTACTAGCATGCTTGCTACTAGTAATAATGCCCTTGTTACTAGTAGCTTCTTGTTCCTAATAGTGATGGTCTCCACCCTAATGTCCCGGACTCCGCTGACTCCACTGATCCAAGGCAAATTGCAGCAGCTGGATGCACAGAAGCTTCAACAGCTCGAGGAGCTCCAGAGACTGGGTGAAGACAGTGTAAGTGTAGCCTGCGAGCCAACAGAGAAGACACGAGTCAATATGTACTGCGATAGCCACATAAAACAAGAGTTGTAAAACCACAATGTAAATTAACATATACATTACAATACAGAGAGAGATTGGGATTACTCGTGTAGCTGTCAGATGCCAGTGTGCCTTGCAACTCATGAGTTACAACTTCTCTCCACCTCACCAAGTGGCCATCGGTGGTCTTTGCCGGGTTTTGCCGATTCAAACACAATGCTTGAAGACACCAAGGAAATGGAAGAGGCAATGTGAGGAAGCCAAAGAGCGTTTGTTGAGTGGCAAGTTGTCCAAAGTGAAGCTGGATTTGTAGACCTGGTCCTCCTAGCTGGTCCTAGCTCCCAAGCTGTGATCATGGCACTGTTGCTGACAGCTGGTTGATCTGAGAACAAGACGGCTGACGTTACAAATAACTATTTTCTTATGTTTTGGCGCAGCTGGAGCATAGAATGACAGGTCAGGGTGACCAGTATTTTTCACCGGTCCTGGACTGAAACAACGGGAGAGTTCTTTCTGCTGGAGATGACAGACAGACGGACCACTTCCAGAGCAGAAGCTTGCATGGCGAACTTTGAGTCCAGGATCGATAGATTGTTATGACTTCAAACCAAAGTAATCCGCGTTCAAAAATACGAAGAGCTTGGGATGTAATCACCTTGTTCACTGTGCTTACGCATTCCAATTCTACCATTGCAACAGACAGGTAGTTGTGCAAACTGAGACGGTCGTTTGGAGAACGTGATTGGCAGTATATTCCACAGATGAGATTTGTCAGACGGTTGTCAACAATTTAGTGGATAGCAAATTCGGCGATCTTGGATGTATATACAGTGATTTGACAATGGTATTTCAAGTGCTCACAGGATGTCAAAGAAAAGCAAAAGTTCCAACTGCAGACAATTGACCCTCGTTGACAGGAAGGTGACAAGCGAAGTGGGTCCGTCTCGTTCTGCACTTGGTTCAATGAGCGACAGCTTTGGAAGATTGACTGAATTGGGTTCAACACTGTTCTACACTTTGGAGGCCATCGCTACTAGGGTGGAAGCCATCGCTACTCGTGCGGAGGCCATCGCTATTAGGTTGGAGGCCATCTACATTTTTACATGTTTCCTTTGTAATGCAGGGCTCAGAGCCAAACAACCAAGGAAGCGTAATTAGCGGGCCTTAGACGGGCAGTAAACTGGATCCATCAAGTGTGCGAAGCATTACTCTTGAAGGTCATCCTCGTCATCTTCCACTTCAGAAGCAAAGAATGAAGGCAACAGGGCCACTCTTGCTATTGACTTTTTTTGATTTTTTACAAACGACCATGAGACATCGTGACGCAGACATGTGGCATCAATCAAGCCAAGGAGATGGAGATGGCAATCACAAAAACAAATCCCTTCAGGAGCAGGAAAACATCAGTCTCGCGTATATATCTTAGCCCAGTACCGTTGACTGTTGACAATATAAGAGCCAATTCTGACTCACAGGTGCAGAAACAGAGGTGCTGGTTATTTGCTAATTGTAATACAGTATTCAATTCTTTCACTTCCAGCCATGGACAAGTCCTTGGCACTTCATCTGGCACGGCGATGCTTGCCCCATTTTGAGACCAAAGGCAGGAGACTTTTGACGAACAACCCAGAACCAAGACTGTTGCCGTTGCCACATGAATTTGCTTTCCCATAGGTTCTACATTTTACACCATAGGTCTAGGGGCATCTTGAGCACAACGGCTGCCCAAAACTTCAATATATATATATATATGTCAATATTCAGCCTTGCTTTCCTTGCCCGAAACTTCCTTGAGTCCCTTTTCGAGAAGTGAAACATCGGATGAACCTCCCATGACAGGTGTAGGGAAGGTGGTCGAGATCGAAAGTGCAAAGCCGCGAAATTTGATCCTCGGTTGGAATCCTGGAAACCAAATGTATAATGGGCATTTATCAAGTAGGACCTTAGCGAGGAAGTCTGGAGAGCACGGTTCTTTCGTTTGTTTTTTGGTTTTTGACTTTGGCTGTTCAGATCCTAATCGAGATTGCTGGCGGCGGTATGTAAAAAACACTGAGAACTCACTCAGCTGAGTCAGGTTGCCAGTATGGACTGGAATGGGCAGTGTGGACGAGGTTCAAGTGACGGGCAAAGGTGAAAGTGCTTCTTTCGTAGTGAAGAGTGTGGGCTCCTCGGTCAAGACCGGACTTTTTCTGTCAAGTTCAGTTTCACAATGGTGAAAGAGTTTGGAGATTGGCAGTTTCTTCAATGAGGTTCGCACAAGAAGATTGATGATGAACTGGCTTTGGTGGACCACATGTCCTACTACAACGAGGTTGGCCGTCACCCAACTTCTGACTCCATCCACAGCTGTTGAGATAGAGCATGTCCATAGACCATAGGGAGCAATCAATCCAAAACATGCAGGCTTTGACCTGCACTCCTTGTGTTGTTTTGCTACTCCTTTTTGTTGGTTTGATGCGATGCTGCAGCAAGAACATGCCAAGATATGCTTATTTGGCTGAGCAAGACTGCAGTGGGTGCTTGTGGAATCCAAGAAGTGTGTGCAAGCAGCCGCCCATTCAACAAAAGACTGACACATAAGCTACTAGTAACAAGGGCATCGCTACTAGTAGCTGATGTGCTTGATTCCATGCGACATGGGTGCCATGCACAGCTCTTTGAGGACGGTCTTGCCACAATTTACATCTACTAGTAGCTTCTCCACGTGCAGCCCTCCACGTGCAGCCCTCCACGTGGGCGCCACCGGGGCAACCTTGTCTGTAAGAGGTATCTTGGGTTGTAGGTTGGAACCTTTATGGATGACAAGGGCGAACCCAATCGGTCCTTCGGGTCCAGCGTTTCTCCGGTTTTCGTTCTATGGGGAGAACGGGAGCACGCGACTCCTGCCGGTGCAGGCTCAAGGGACATTGAGTTTTCCCTTGGGGTCAACTCTTCCCTTGGCCACTGGTGTGGAGGAGACAACAACGTGACTGACCCGTACGTTGTTGGGGGTGAGTTGGTTAGTTTGTGGCTTGGTTGGTTTCCGGTTTCCAGTGTTTGGGTGCTACGGTGTCATCTCTGTGGTGACTGGGGGCTGATTGGAACAGGGTGAACTTGGTCGGCTTGACACAACCAATGTCCGAAGTGAAACGGAAACACTAAGGGAGTAATCTACAGTGGAGGTATGTGAAAGCACATGTGTAAAGTGTGGACGCGTGACGCGTGTATTCGAGGCCCGCGACAACCAGGGCGAGTGACGGCCATGATGCCTGTCTTCCCCAGACTCCCAATGGGACGTCTATCAGGCGGCTGTATGCCAGTCTGCGGTGCTTACTCGGTTGTTTCCCTGCCCATGGCTTGGCAAGTTTCTTGTGTTGCACCTACTGTGTGTAAATCCGCATGGTGCCGAATGTGGATCAAGCGGGGAACTTGTCAGCTACCAACTCAGTGAGGACTTGTGTGCTACTCTCCTTGTTTCTTCTCGCATTGCTTTATGTAGTTCTGGTTGTGTAATATATATGAGTGGAAGAATCACGAGCCCCATGGGCGCGGTTTTATTTTTTAGTAAACGGGGTGGCCGGTGCGCCAGAGGAACCATTTAGGAATTTAGGAGCGGCTGTCATGGTGTGCCTCTGGCTACCACCACAGCGACTGCATCATCATCATCATCATCACTAGTATCTTCTAGCTACTAGTAGTAATGCCCTTGTTACTAGTAGCGATGCCCTTGTTTCAGGTAGCTTCTAGCTACTAGTAGTAGTGTCTTTGTTACTAGTAGTGATTCCCTTGATACTAGTAATGCCCTTGTTACTAGGAAGAATGCCCTTGTTACTAGTAGTTTCATGGAACTTTCCTGCCTTTAGAACAAGGTTCAGCCCTTTGGTCAGCCCTTGCGGAGCAGTACTCTGTGTTCTGGATGATACCGGATGTGCTGTATGCCAGGTTTACACGTTTCTTTGCGACATTTACCAACTCTCATACAGATCCTTGTTGCTCCTCTATGTTCTGCTCCAACAGATACTCTATCTGCAAACACACCAAAATGCGGTCAGCTTTGTGAGGCTACATTCTATGAACAAGACTTGAGCGAAAGGATCTGTGCCGCGGGAGCCTTGTGTCCAAAGCCCTTGCTGGTGGACCGTACTGAAGATGGAGACTTGACCATTTGCCGCTTGACTTTTCAAGTCTTCATTCAGACAGTTAGAACATATTAGAACACCACAGTTTTCTTTTTGATAAGACATTGTTCAGTATGCAAGGGATGTCCTTCAGGCAAGGGTTTGTTGAATCATCCACAGTTTCCTGGCAGTGCCAGAGGCAAGTTGTTTCCACTCTGCTTTCGGGGCCTTTGCAACTGCAAGACGGGAATCCATTTGTTCCGATACTCCAAGAAGGGAGGTTGAAGAAGTGTTTGATGCGATTCAATCCTTTATTGAGCCTAATTGCGCACGATTCCACAATGCTAGCTAAGGCATGACAAAGCTGCCTGGCAGAGGCTTCTCTCGCAGCCCTGAGCAAACGTGCAAGCCTTAGGGGCTTAGAGTGGGCATATTTTCCATGCGTTCTCAGAAGGCTTGGGCCTGAACGACCCTCGTCAGAGAGTAGTTAGTTCCAAGCCACCTACATCTTTGAGGCTGAGGCAAAGAAACAAAAAACGGTTCTCAGAAGTAAGGAGACGTTCTGAACGGCTGTGTTTAGTAGGCATGATTTACCCATGAGCCTGGCTGTTGTACAATCTAATCTAAGTCATGTACTGTTTAGTCGGCAGTGGGGACAGGATTCGGAACGCAACTCTCGAGGCACTTAGCGCTGCAGTGGCTCGCGCGGCTCCATGCGCTTTATTGGGGCAAGGCTGATGAGGCCGTGAAGAGCCTTGACTGGGCAGTGAAGGAGACGCCTCAGTTGATTTCAAGGAGTAGAGCCTAGCGGTGCATGTTGTGTCCATTCTTCCAACCAAACTCTAGGGTTTTGCTCAGGAGACTTCTTTCGATATTGATATGTTTGATTGGTCCTTCACGGGAATCGCGTTATATGGAAGGCTTATGGTGAAGGGTTGAAAGGTTGCTTCTTCGGGGAAAGGCCTCGTGGCAGCAGACACTGTTCCGGCAGAACCTGTTTGCAGCAGCAACGCGTTGACTGTAGTCTACTGTAAGGCATTCCGATACTGTATTCCCCTCAAACTCGGGTTGTATTAAGGCAATCAATCTTCCTAGGATATTATATTATACTTATTGATACTTAGTATAATTGCATTTCCGCCTTACGATGCAAAAACCTGAAGGCATGCACATCGAAGGCTTCTGGATGCATTTTGTTTCGCACTCGTAGCTTTACAAGTGTTTGCTACAGATCACATCACATATATATATATATAATCAATGAACATGTG